AAGGAGCCAGGCTCACTGGAGAAATGCACCATTTTTAGCGACATCTCTTCTGAATCCTCCTAATCTTGTGCAGCGCCCTTTTGTCTTATTCCATCAAAGTGTGACAAAACCTTTTCATGAGGGTTGTTTTACAGATGCTCGTAGTTCAGCAATGCGTTTTTCCTCATTCATACGGAGCGCTGTCGTTGCTGTTAATTGTATATGTTAGGGAAACACCTCCGGGCCCTGCTGGGATGAGTGACGGGCGTATCTGTAGCCAGAGGTTTGCAAGGCAGTGGCTGGGAGGCGACAGGGCCTGAGGTGAAGCTGGAGATGCTGCTGGGTTGGGGAAGGGCTGGCAGGAGCCCTTGCTTTTCTCTTTCCCAGGGCAGCGTGGCCCCTCGCTGGCTCTTTTGGGGATGGTCCTGGCAAGTGACGTGGTCCTGGGAGATGCTGAGGTGTGAGGGGTGCGCGCGTGCGCTCTGTGCTTCAGGATTAAGACGGTAAACGTATTGGCAAAGCTCTCCTTCAAAGTTGTGGGGGGTTTTGCATGGCTTATCTGCATGGTATGCCCTGGTTTGAGAGCCATGGGAGCTCCCTCCTTCTCTGACTCTGCCCCAACATCTTACCGGTCTCGTGTTTTAAAAATAAAGGCACAAAAGCTTGGTGCTGTACCATTTTGGCTGGCTCCGACTTGGTCAGGCAGCCCCTGGGCTCTCAATGGCAGCTGGGCATCCAGGTTTTTCTGGCAGCTGGGAAAACATTCAAAATGAATTTCTCCTTTCCCTCCTCCTTGGGAAAAAGAAAAAAAAAAAAAAAAAAGAAGAAAATAAACGATTAGAGCTCGCTAAGGGTTTTCTGTTACACCATTAAACCGTGCACAGCATGCCTCTGAACAGCCCTTAAGGCTATGGTCCTCTGTCTTCCCATCCATCTTGTGTCTGTCACGTCCCTGCTAACTTGAAGGATGCTTCTGTGGAGGACCGGAGACCTATTGGAGATGCAACTGCACATTGCGGTCTGTCTCAGATCATGGATATTTTTAATGGTGTTTTTTTTCCTTGTGATGAGGCCTTGAGTTCCTGTGCTGTCCTGTGCCGAGCGGTGCAGGGTTAGGGCATTGCCCGAGCTCCCAGGCGCAGCTTGTCCCATCGGTGTGTCTTCCCCAGCCATCAGCCCTGGCAGAAAATTATCTGCATGATGCTCTGCAGCTTCAGGCCAGGCACGAGACAGGATTTTGGAGGTGTTCCCTGTTCTTTGTGCTCTGCTCCTAGGACATTTCCAAGCGGGGTCGAAACTACCTGCAATCCTCCTGTTTAACAGCACCCAGAGTAATGCACGGGGTGGGTTTCTGTGTTGTATTCCCGTAACTTCTCTAGCTGTAAAGCTGCAGTGCTGTGTAAAATCCCACCATGGGGAATGTTTTGTTGCCACTAGTGGCATGAATCACTTGGTGGGTGATGGGATTTCCTGCATCCTGTGGCTGTTTCCCCTTGAGTGGAGTAGAAGGGGGCTCTGGGGGATGGAAGTGAAATCAGACTGGCTTTTGCAGACGTATTTTGGGGTGTAGGCTGTTCCCCCTTGCCCGATATTTTGCTTTTATTTACAGCCCCCTCCTCAGTGTCTGCTGGCGTGCTGCTGCCCTGGGTGGCTGCCTCCTGCGTGCTGGTGAGTGCCGTCCAGCCCCAAGCTGTCGCCCTGCAGGCATCGAGCCAGCAGCTCCTAAGGCATAACATGAAGCCCAAGGGCTGAGGGCAATTAGATGCACAAGCTCCTGCCTTGGGGGGGGTCCCCAACCTGCCGTGTAGCCCTCACCCCAGGAGGGTTGGATCACTGGGTGTCGGATCTGAGCCTTGCACGTGGTCTGCCTCCATCCCCACCGGCCAGCTAATCGCTGCCTGCTCCTTCCGCCGGGGTCTCTCATGCTGTTGATGTTTTTAATCGTTAGGAAAGGTATATAAAGTTGATGGATGACGCGATGGTGATATACACTACCTACATGGTCTTTAAAGTAAGTATATTTGTAAAATCTAGTAGAAACCAAGGCTGGCAGGAGACTTTTGTTACTGGAAGTCTGTTTTTGTCCTGACACATCCTTCCATCAGTTCTTTTGTGAGAGCTAAAAATTAGTTGGCTTTAGTGGAGTTAATAATCGTCTGAAATGGAGTTGAGCAATTGATGTTGCTGCATCAAAATGTTTCCCCCTCCCTTTCCCCTCCTTCCCCCAAAAAAAGAAATTCCTGGCTGATACTCAAAATACAGTTCTCACTGTGCAAGTATTAAACTGTGGGTCTTTTCTTTCAAGTTTCTGGATTTTTATGGGCACAATCAGTCTGTTAACAGGCCTTTTTTTTTTTTTTGTGGTTTCAATGCATTTATATCATTGACCTTTGCTTTAAAAAGTGTCTGACAGACTTTACTGGACTGCAGCTATGAAAAGGAGTGTTGTAAGGGGGCTTTATTCTATGGAAGCAATGACCACAGGCAAAGCTTTATATTTGCTGAGTGATTTAATTCTTGCACATGCAGAACTTGGCTCTGTGCCATGTGTAACATGTTGAGAAAAGGTCTGCTTGAGAGGCATTAAAACCAAACTTTCCAAAACCGTCTTTTTTTTTTCTTTAAAAATAGCTTTCTTTCCTGTTATTTTTAAGCTAACGAGTAAAATCAAGGGACGCTTCACCAAAATGCTGCATTGAGCTCTAGCAGAATCATTGGGGAAATAAACCTCCTTTAAAGAAATGAAGTGGGAGTCTGGATGGAAGGGTGCCAGCTGGGAGGAAGAGGAGGGTGTAATTAAGATAAAGGCTTGATCGAGGGACAGGAGAGAGTAAACCGGAGCACCCTGGACTCCAGGAGGAAGCCTGGGAGGGTGAAGATTGTACAGCTCGAGTGCTTGGTCCTGTAAAGTCCTACTCATAGGGCACATCCTCAGAAGATGAGTTTTCAGGCTAAATATCAGATCCCCACCAAATTTGCTGCTTTTCCCTGCTTGGCTCTGCCTGTCCCCTGCCTGCTTACAGGAATATCTGTCTGGTAGTGGTCAGAAGCAAATAAAAACAAACTGCTTTATGTTTGCTCTTGTTTTAAATGCTGGGACAACATTTGGATTAATGCTAGGTCTTGTGAAAAGATCTTTAAAAGTCAAACATACTGAGCTGCTTAACAGCATCCCTTTGAATTCTGCATCTGCCTGCTGCAATTCCAGATAATGGTCTGGAGAACAAGGAAACGTATTTCTTTTTCCTTCTTGTAATCAGTCCATTAAATACGCCTGAAGTTTCATATTCTGAAACTGTTTAATTGTGTAGCCACTTGGGCCGAGTTCCGTATTTTGGTGTGCTTTTGAGTATTTCCTCTTCCTTTGGCAAGCAAATGAACAACAGAAATACTAAATTATGTTAATTTCTAACAGAAGCAATGTCTTCCCCAAAACATTGCAATCTACTGCATTTTAATTAAAAACAACATATCAACAGCGCATCAAGCCATTTGGAGCCTCAGCCTCTATTAGTTTTAATCAGCAGGTTTTTCTGGGGGCTTTTAGAAGCAAATTGTGCATTGCTCACTCACTGCCCAGGAGGAGTGAGGGAGAACAATAGAATATCTTCGTACAGGCACACCAAACCCTGAAATGCTGAATTAAAAAGCTGTGTGAATAGGGTGGAGCTTATATAAAGGGAGAGCGAAGAGGAGGGCGCATCCAGCGGTGTGCAGGGGGTGCTCCGTGGATGGCACCCGTGTCCTCTGCTGCAGCTGCAAATAAATCCATCTCCGGGAGGAGACCAGATCGCGTTTATTTGGGCTGCTGTCCTGGCTTCCCTGTGCGGCACGCAGGGGTTGAGGTTTCCCACAGGTCGCCCCAGGGCTCCTGGAGATGCGGGGAGGCACTTCTGTGCGCACTCGTCCTCGGCTCGGGCATTAGCGGCTCCCACGTGTGCAGGTGGGATGAGCCGTAGCTGGCAGTCGCTGCGCTGGGGGGCGGGTGGGAAAGAGCATTTTATCCATTCCTGTGATTTCTCCGAGAGTTGAGCCTAAATGCTTCTAGTGTATAAAGTCGCTTATGAAAGCAATAGGTTTGAAGCTTCTATGTGGAGAGACTGGCACGGAAAGCCAAAGGAATGAGGGTAACCCTTGCTTTTTATAGCCTCCTGGCATTTGCTCATGCCAACTAAAACCAATACCCTCTATTTTAACTGTGCGGAGCTCCACCCTCCACAGTCAGCCTCGGTGCCCAAGTAAAGGGGCTCCTGCCTGGGGTTAGCTATAGTGGAAACCGCAGGGGAAGGGAAAACCCTCTCTGTCTTTCCCTGGCTCCTACTGGGTAGAAGTCAGCTGGGGAGAGGGGCTTTGCCCAGGTGGCCGTGGGGATGTTGCGTGGAAGGGATAAATAGGTTCATGGAGCAGTGTTGGGAGTGCAGGTGGCTGATGCCTGCCCGGGCTGAAACCAGAGCGAGACATCTGAGCTGCTGCGCCAGCTTTTGGGGAAAAGCTGGGAAAGCAGGCGGTGAGCAGGGAATTGTCCGTTTGCCTCAAAATCTGGGAGGTGCCGCTCGGTGCCAATGCGGAGGGGAGGTGATCGTCCATGTGGGTGCTCTGTTATCGTTCAGGCGTAGTGAGCACGAGTGTCCCAGGGTCCTGCAGGACCTGGGGCTGGTGCGGGTGCTTGATGAAGCTGGGACCAGAGAGGGGCTGCTGGAGCATCTGCTGGGGGCTGATGTATGGGGATGGCTTTGGGCCAAGGCTTTCCAGGGTGATGATTTCTGGTGCCCAGACGGAAATGCTGTCAGGGCAACTGGTTTTGCAGAGCCTCAGCCTTTGCTGAATTGCCCATCGCTTTTTGGAAATTGGTGCCCATGGGTTTTATGTCCTGCCTGCAGTAGGCATTTCTGCACAGAGTTCCCTGCTCTGGAAAGGGATCCCAAAACACTGACTGCTGGTTTGTACTTTGGATGCCTCCCAGCTCGTCCAGGTTTCACCCAGCTCATCCAGGTTTCACTGTTGTTTTTTCCTCTGTGCAGCTCTGGGAAATGCCAGTGTAAAGTTGGTGTCACGGACCTGAAGTGTGACTGGTGCAGTGATGGATACTACAGGTTTAATGAAACCACCTGTGAGCCATGCCAGTGCAACAACCACTCCAAAACCTGCGACAGCTTGACAGGTAACTTTCCTCTTGTGACCGTGGTGGGTGCAGACTTTACCTGTCTTCTCTATGTTTTGCCGTTTTCATTCAGCAGACCTCTGCTCTCATCCTCTTCATCTGCATCTTTATGCCTTGACTACGCAGAGTCTTTACCCTAAAACCGAAATTAATATGCGTGGCAAGGTTGGAGCTAGTCCTCTTCTCAAGGAAGTCAATAAAGGTACTTACCCCAGGCTGCAGTGCAGAGCCTTTATTCTGCAGTCTCTATCGGAAATCAGGGCTCTATTGTTCTCTGCACTTACACAAACACACAACACGGGCTTTTAAGGAGCTTTTGTTTAACTGCTGTTTACCTGGAAACATATACTGTACTGGCACTGACGTAAGGTGACCGTTATTGCCACAGATAACGTGATTAGTGCTGGAAAAAGCTGGCAGCACCTAATTAATATTGCCGACATTTTATAAATTTGCCTTGCTCGTTTTCCTTGATCATTTCTTTGACTGTCTCACTCATACAGATGTTGATGGAGTGCAAATGTTGAAGCACCTGTGCTTGAATAGCTTATGGGAGGGCAGGGGGGGACCTAATTGCCTTCCCATCTCCACTGAAAGGAGAGATCCCTGAGGAGCCATGTTATGTGACTGCCTGTGCAATCCCCACTGTAGCACACAAAACTCACACTTAAAAATCCAAATTCTCATCAAAACTTCCAGGCTGAAATGTAGTTCTGTAATATTTATCCAGGAGCTTAGAAAGGAGTGATAATTTAAAAAATGTTGCAGGGTTTTTTGCATAGCTGGCAGAGCGGCAGAGCTCATAACATATGGTATTTCTGAGCAATTTCTGCGCTGGTGTCTGTTCCCTCATGGCCTGCGTGTTTGCAGCAGAGGAACGGGCGGCCGCAGTGCTGAGTGTGCCCAGCCAATGCTCTGATCCTGCTCGGCAGAGAGGGTGTTTCTGTGGATGTCGGGGATAGCAGCAGGCACCCAATCTGCATTCCTTGAGGATGAATTATTGCATTCATTCCTATACTGAACATTATGTGCTTATGTCCTATGAATAGTGAAGGATATAAGATTGTACTTAAAGCAGTGCACACAGCTGATTCAGAGCTGGGAGTGTGGGTTTTGTGAAGGAGTAAGATAATCTGCTCTTCCTTTTTCTCCCTCAGTGTTCCCCCTGCTCTTGGTTTAAAAAAAAAAAAACCAAAACAAAACCCAGTGCAGACCTTCCCTCCAGGATGGGGCTGTTCAGGCAGTGCTTCTGCTGGGTCTGTCTAGCGCTGACCGCAGCATTGCAAAGAAAACCCCTCTTAACCCCTCTTTTTGGTTAATGACCTATTGTTGATTTGACAGAAATCCCTTTTTAAAAATTTTCCTCCATCTGCTTTATTTGCTCCTGGGTGTGGGGGAACCCAACAAATCCAGAACAGAGAACAGTCGATTAAAAATTAGATCTGATGTCTAATAAGTAATGCAGTGCACTCAGCCTGCTCTAGAGACTGCACTTTGTGTGACCTCCCCAGTTTTACATCAACTGTGCGTAGTCTTTGTCAAATTTTCAAGGTTGCTTTTGCATTAATGCTGTACTTCGGGCTCCCTCTGCTGGCTCTGCAACCGTCTCTGCATGGCCTCACTTGGTGTTGCTCTGGCCAGGAGGAATATTTAAAATTACTGGGCTGGAAATTGGGCAGCCAGAGCTCCCCAGGCGACAGCGCTTCCTTTGACACAACCCTTGTACCCCCGTGTTGTGTCTGTGCAAAGAGTTCGGTTGCTTCTTCCCAGTTGGGGTACTGTGAGGTCTGATCCTTCCTGAGGGCATTATCAGGATAGGAAATGTTATTAATAATTAAGGCTTTCCACAGCGATACCTGATTGCAAGCCCATGCGTGCTTTGCATGGCTGAGCAACTTGCTGACTCATTGGAAACGCAGCCATTTTGCAGGGTTGGTGTAGATAAATGCGAGTAATTTCCGCCAATGGGAAAGACATTGATCCTGAAATGACCAAGACTGTATAGAAAACGCAGGTGTGAGTCCAGATTTATACCACCATTAATGCCTACAGAGCATGACGGTTCAAGGCACCCTTAGTGCTCCTGGGGCAGATTGACCTTCCACGAGCCAGTCTGTCCCAGGCATCCCGCTGAAGCAGCTGATCGAGGTTTGCAACTGGAGAAACCAAGACCAGCAGATAATTTTCCTCTCTAACCCTGACATCTCTCCCACAAAAACCACCGGCTCGTGTCTGACAAGCTGTTGGGCGAAGAGCAAACAGTGTGTGGGAGCTGATGCCGAGCAAGTGTCCTTAGTCATTGGGGTGCTGCCAGCCCCACCGCGCGGGTGAATCAGCCGCTTCCCAAAAGCGGCAGCTGCCAAGGTTTGCTTCCTGCCCTGGGTGTGAGGGTTGGCTGCAAGGACACGCTGGGCTTGCTCAGGGATGCTCGGCTGCAGAGTTATTGCTGTGGAAAGAGAAGAGTAGGAGCCATGCAGCGTGTTGGGCTTGCAAGGGAGCCAAACTGTTCCAATATTAATAAGAAAATATGCTGTGGTTTTTTTAACAGTCAGCATTAACCTAATTCAGGGTTTTTTCTGTGGTTAATGTTGATATGAGGCTTTTCCATACCCCCGCAGCACTGCTAGATTAGCTCAGTGAATCTCCTGTCTGTGCTTATATCCGCAGTGAATAAACTGCTCTGTGCCGCCCTGGTTTGTTAGAAGGTGGCTGTTGCCTTTTCCGAGTCTTGTACACGGGATTTAATCAAATAAGCTTCCCTCAGGTCACTGCTACCTCGATGAGGAGCCTGCTGAATTACAGGGTGTTCCTGTTCATGGATGGGCTTTTGATAGAGGCTGTGTTTTTATAACTACAGAGATTTTTCTTTCTCTAGTCACAATAGTATCAAAATGCAATTTAGAGGGCCACTAGGACACAGCCTCTGCGAAGACAGAGCACATCGATTTTCTGATTCAGGGGCTACCCCAGGAAGGGGAGGTGGCTCACATAAACCCCCAGTTCTCCTCTGGTTCTCCGGGAAGGTCAGTAAGTGCTGCTGCCTTGTGCCTGTAACAAATGTTCCTCCTGTGATGGGGATGGAGGAGCTGGAGCCGCACTGGTGGGACAGAGCCATCTGCCTCCAAAGCAGGACGATGGCACTTCCTTACCCCTGACTACCAGCTCTGTGGTGTAGGAATAGGTTGCACACAAAAAAGGGCGAGGGTATAAACTGGAGGGGGCCCTCATGAGAGTGAGGGGTTTGAAGCATCAAGATTCCGGCTCACTGGCATAGATGCAAACCAAAGCCCCTCTCCTTGAGGACCATTTGATATTGATAGCACGTGTTGACCTGCATTGACCTTTTAAAGTGATGAACTGTGGGCCTCTCTGCTGGGGCTACCTACTTTTTCACATTGTGTGTGTGTGTGGAGAGGGGGATGACTATCAGAAGGTCATAAGAGGCCAGGATCATGTTTTGGCCGGAGGGCATCCAAAATCACCTGCGAGCTCTGATAATTGAGAGCGCTCCATGCAGATTCTTGCTCCAAATGTTCTGCTCCAGTTCCTGCTGCCAAACGGTTGCTTGTGGTCCTGTCCCTTCTCCAGGCATCTGCCTGCATTGCCAGGAAAACACCGAGGGAAACCACTGCGAGCGCTGCAAGGAGGGCTTCTACAGAAGCACCCATCCTGCCCACGCCTGCCATCACTGCCCGTGCTCCACCGTGGCATCGACCGGCACCTGCCAAATACGTAAGGCTTTCATTTTGGTCTAATTCCTCAGTTAATGAATGTAGCTCTTCTCAGTGTGTTTCAATTAAATTGCCACTTAGTGTGCATCAGCCTAATGAGGTGGTTTATAGCCTGTGAATCTCCCGTTCATGGGAGCTGGGGCACCTTGCTGGAAGCAGCGCCTGCCATGATGCGTCCCTGGTGCTTGCGTTGCCTCTTGTGAGAGCAGCTGGGCAGTGGAGGGTATTGGAAACGCTTTGCTACAGGCTGCAGTTTGCTCTGAAGAACCTGCAGAGTTTTGCAGAGAGAAACTGCTGGGCTTGTGGCAGCCAGGAGAGGTACAGGAGATGGCCAGCAGTGTCATGTAGCCATCCACGCCTCTGTGAGCCCTCTTCTGAACATCTCTGTGGGACTCCAAACAGATTCCCCAGCCTTCCTGCTCTATTTTGATGTAACGAAGAGAAAAAGTTATAGCTGTAATAAACGTATGTAAGACTCTTTTTTGGTATTTCCTTAATCAGTTTTGCAATCGAGCCTCCTCTGCCTTCATATAGGCCAAAAAGTTCCTGCAGATTGCTAACATCCCCGTTATAGTTCCAACTATTTTCTGAAATTGTCTGTCTGAGATGGAAATGCTCAGGAGTAATAATCTGTTTGCTTAGCAACGTGCCGAGCATGCTCTGTGAGGCTGGTACAAGGCATCAGAAACTCCCAAAGCATTTTTCCCCCTAGAAACAGAGAAACTGCTGCAGTTCAAAAGTTATATTTTCAGCTTAAAATTTGAGATTGGTTAATACTCAGTGGCTGCTGATTTTTGTTATAGTGACTTGTGGTCAGGTCCCACAGAACAAATCCCACAGTGGGTGTTTCTCTGCAGACGCTGTGGCACATACCCGTTTTCTTTTCTGTATTTTTAGATCCTGGTGAAACTGCCCCAAGGTGTGACAAATGCAAAACTGGGTACACTGGCCCAAACTGCAACCAGTGCGACAATGGCTACTACAACTCTGACAGCATCTGCGTAAGATGTAAATGCAACGGGAACGTGGACCCAGCACGGTCACGCAGTGTGTGCAAGCCGGATAGCGGGGAGTGCATCGGCTGCCTGTACCACACTGCTGGGTTTCATTGTGAGGAGTGTGAGGACGGCTACGTTCGAGACCCTGAGGGGACCAACTGCACCAAGAAAGGTAAGACATCCTCCTCAAATCAGTGTCGAAGCTTGCTGTGCGGCTCAGGTGGGCACAAGCTGTCTGAAGGCTGGGGAGGGACTACTGTTGAAACCGGTTTAGATTCATCTGGCCTGTCGTACAGGGAGGAAAACCAGACCTTTATAAAACATTGGTGCCTACTGGCCTTGAAATCTGTGGTTGAGAGTTAGCTCTGTGACCACCCTGATTCCCAGACTGTGGCAGGCACCTCTAGTGAACAAGCTGGAAAACAAAAACTATTTGCAGTGTATTTAAATGTAGGCTTTCAGATTTCTATTGCTTGATATACTTGGTCTCTTAGTGCCCAGTGAATTGTCCTTATTAACTAGTCCATTCAATAGCAGTGTCTAGTTCCCTAGAAAGGGTGTTTATGATAAATTTTGTCACTCCTCATACTCTGCAAACAATAACTACTTGGAACAAGTTTAGATACTCTTTTTTTTTTTTTTTTTTCTTTTTTTCCTTTCTAAATGGGGAAGCCAAAGCTCGGAGAGCTCAGATCCAAACTCGCACAGCGAGTTAACGGCAGAATTTACTGGTATCTCTCTGGGGGTGTCCCCTCATTCTTCAGTCCACATCCGAGACACTGCATGTAGCATCTTGGATGCAAATTAGCTCTGGTACTTAGAGAGGCTACTGCATAGCAGGAGAACTCACAGTAAAATGAGAGAAAATGGTTCTTAAGTTGCTGCTTCAGTGGTTATCAGGAGGTTGGTCCACAAGGTGGATCTCCAGCTCCATGCATGGAAACATTATAGGTGTTACGTGCTAGATGAGAGAACCCAGAGTTCAGGAAAGTATCTGGGCCCAAATTTATCCTTGTCACCAACAGAGATTTAATTCAGATCTTCCATTAGGAGCTAATGTGGTTTTCACTCCCATGCTGCTCTCTGGAGGTGTAATCACAGAGTCCTTCTCTGTGTGGGGAGATGATCAATACAAAAAAGTTGAATGCTCATTAGCTGTAACTGTACCATTACAAGGCTGGAAATGGCAGTTTTGCATCGGGTCATCCATTATCTCCCCCTGCACAGCTCTGTCTGTGCAAAGAGCTACATGACCTTGCTCCATTAAAATCCGTATGTATGGCTTTGCTTGTATACTTGCAGTTTTCACCATTTGTTTTATTGTAATGGCATTGTTACAGGCAATTCCTGATGTGGGGAAAGACTGTTCCCTTTCAAAGGGACTGGGACATGCTCTTCTAGCTTTCCTGTTTCCTTGACACCTGTGTTTTCCCATTCTTACTAAGGAACTAAAAAGGCATACAGTTTCTTTCCAGTTTCTTACACACAATTTGTCTAAAAATTGACATGCTGAGGTGCTGTGCATTAACTAGTTTTAGGTTAAGATTTTCATAAACCACTAGTGCATTTGAGTGGCCTGGTTTTGAGTGGCTTCTAGAGCGAAATCATCACCCACCAGATCTGCAAATGAAATTGTTGGTGAGACTCTAAGTGGTCGCAGTTGAGGAAAGACAGCATGTTTTGTGCCAACCTCGAGTATCCACAGGGACTGTTCAGAGTCTAAACCTGACCAAGATTTTGATGCTTTCAAGGCTGATGGAGAGACTATTCAAAGGACGTGTGGGATGACGAAAGTCAGTGTTTCCGACCCCTGGGTGGATGGTGTTCCTGCTGTGATGGTGAGGCATAGCAGCAAGGACTTCGTGATGCAGCGTGGCACTGTGCCACCCAGCCGAGCATCGCAGCCTTCCCCGAGAGCTGGTGCGTGGGCTGCTGGCGCGGCCCTGGCTCCTGCTGGTGCTCATTCATTGCAGGAGGTAGCAGAAGCTTTGCAGAGACTGCATTTCAATCAAGCAGCTGGATATGACACTCACGTCAAAGCTGCCAAAGCAGCCCATTGACTGAACAGCTGCCGCTCTCAAGGAGCTGCTTTAGGACATCTGGAGGGTTGGCACGGCCCTGGTGAGCGGAAACAGGCATCGCTGTATCACAGCCCAAAAGCGACAGTCTGTGGTCAGAGCACGGCACTGTTTCACCATGACATTACTGTCAGTTCCAGGAAATGTTTTCACCCATGTACCCCTTGCCAGCACTTAGCTGATGCTGACTCACAAATAAAGCCCAGAAAAGTCCTGTTTCCTTGCTGGTGAATCAGCCATTGTCTCTGTTCTGTTTTTTTCTAATTATAGCTACTGGCAGGGTTTGCCAATAATTGAGTCTTGATGAAGGAATTTGGAAAAGATGACTGAATTCCTCATGCCCTTCTCCCAAAGCTGTAACCAGGAACCTCTTGCTCCTGTCACGTTGCTTCCTATTGCTAAATTCTGTCTGTTATCCCATAGGGAAATGCCTTCTAGCATTCAGCATCCCGAATATCCTTATCAACCTAAGGCAGGACCTGCAGAGAACAGAGGAGCTGCTGCAGGGAGAGATGTGAGCAGGAGCTTAAATTAGGTGTGCGATGCCCCCTCCAGAGGAGTTTCTTCATTGCCTGAACTGGGAATGTGACAGCCCAAAGTTAACTCGTGGGAGTTCCCCCGAGAGCCCGTGGCAGGAGTTGTGCTGAGTATTTCCAGCTCCTGTTGCCATTGGAGATGTAACTTAGTGCAAAATTGGTCCTTCCGAAGTGACTCTCCTCCTCACTCATAATTAGTAGATGTTCTCTTCAGGAGAGCTGGATCAATACAGCACAGCACCATTGGCTGTAATCGCCGCAGCTGTAAGTGAGTTTAAAATGAAGTTGCATTTCTGATAGCAGAAAGAGAAATGGAAGAGAGTGGGAAAGAGGGTGCAGAGAGTCCTGTGGAGCCGTACATGTAGAGAACATTTTGGTTGATTGAGGTTTCAGCTTCTAGAGGGTTCCTGCTGCCTGGACTTAGAATCTAAAATAGATCAGGTTATTCTTGTGAAGAAAATGCTTTATTAGTTACGTTTGGGAGCCTAATGCTCAGGCTTTTATGGTGCTTTCTGAGGCCTATAGCTCAACTGGTTTGAAGAAGGCATAATGAATTTGCATCCCACTTACGAGATCTCCAGCATTCACTTGTCACTGACTCCTAGATCTGAGAAGGGAGTTGTGCCATGTCTGCTGGAAGCAAGGCAGGTTCTTGGCTCTTTTGTGCCTGGGAACAGGCTGCAAAGGAAGATGGAGCTTGTGGCACAGTCTGGTAGTTTCCATGTTCCCATCCTTCATGTGTGGATATATGCCAGCGGCTGAAACCAAACCAGGATCCAAACTGGCTTCTGCTGTGTTCAAAAGCTTCATAAGAACATCCACAGTCTTTTTTGTTGTGATTTGGTTACCTTCTGCTTCTGGGTATGCAGACTGGGGTTTTCTGTGAGATTTGTGTATGACTTCTTCGTTCAGAAGCAGAACTGGGATTATTTTGCCCTTTTACATAAAGCAGGGTAAATACTGAAACCTGTTGCTAAACACTGTGACAACAGAATACTCATGGTTCATTTTTGAACTTCTTGTACAGGTAAGGTGCAGAAATAATAATATTGTGAACATAATCCTAAATCTAGTGTACTAACTGTGAAAGGTTTAAGCTCCTGGAGTTGCTGTGTCCTCCCAGTCTGTGCAGCCCATGTAGACAGCAAGTGAAACTCTGCCTGCATTAGGTTCCAAGTCCAAACTCTTGCTGAGCTTGGTAGAGCCCTGTTTTCATGGGCTGAATATGAGCTGGACTGGGTGGCTTGCTTTCATCATGAGCTCATGTATCTGACAGTCCTATGGCTCCTGCAACCTATCCATCCATCACAGATTCTTCATAGGAGTGCTGCAGTCAATGAGCACTTAGCACACAGAATTTAAAAAAAACAAAAACAAAAACCACCCAACCCTGGCTAACTATTTTTGTAAACTATTTTGAAAAAAATACCAGCTTTAAGTGTAGACTTAATTGCCATAATAACTGTGATATAAATGTCAAATCTCTTATGTTTGTGTTTGATTCCAGCTTATATTTTTATTGATAATTTTTTATTTGTTTTGTAGAAGCCACTCTTGGCCCAGAAACAAGGGAGTTTACAACTTCTGCTCCAAATGCCAGCAAGGCAACATCATTTTCAACGGCAGTGATAAACAGTACGTTGTCACCAACAACTATACAGACTATATTTCCTATAAGTTCCTCTGACAATAGTACCTCTGCTTTTGCAGATGTCTCATGGACTCAGTTTAACATAATTATTTTGACAGTTATCATCATTGTTGTGGTCCTACTAATGGGCTTTGTGGGTGCTGTCTACATGTACCGTGAGTATCAAACCAGAAAACTTAACGCTCCTTTTTGGACCATTGAACTCAAAGAGGACAACATCAGTTTTAGCAGCTACCATGACAGCATACCCAACGCTGATGTTTCGGGGCTGTTGGAAGACGATGGGAATGAAGTTGCACCGAATGGACAGCTAACGCTGACAACTCCCATGCATAATTATAAAGCTTAGAAGTGATCCAGCTATTCCAAAGTTGGCTTAAAAAAGTTACAGGGCTTGTTGAAGGGGTATCAAGATCTGTGCCAAGGCTCCACGCAGAGGAATTTGCTCTTCAGATACTCTTGTGTTGGGCATGCTGTAGCTTGCAGGTGAACAGAAAAAAGTGTAGTACATCTGAATTTCAGGTAATATGGTGAAATGCATTCAGTGTCCTGTTCTCCATAAAGATCCATAGAATTCACTGTTGTTAAAACTTGATTATGCTGATCTGAAAATATTTTTTTTGATGAAGAGGTGGTGGGGTGGAGAAAGCAGTACCCCACGATTAATCAGAAGCTACTTGATTTCCAGCCAACCTAACGCTTATGTCTGCATCCTTTAGTTTGAAACGTAGCTCATGAATTAACAGTGGATTTGCAGGATATAGACCTTTGTAAAGGCTTCATATTAGTTCCTGATGTAAATCTGTTTGAAAAGGAGGACAAAAGAAGGGAAATAATTGTACTACCAAAAGGCAAGTAGAGGAGCGAGTTGCACACTTGAAAAAAAAGTCACCGTTGTCAGTTTCCACTAAGCAGGGAAACAGGAAAAAAAATCACGAAAATGTTAGAGTTAGGGAAGAGACTAAGCTTTTCTCTTTCTGAGTATTCTGAGTACAGGGTGATGATGCTATTAAAACGTAGCAATCCATTTTTTTTTTTCCTAGGAGTTAATGAACTTGTATAGTTTCTGTGCAAGGGAAGACGACAAGACATCTCAGGGTTGCCATGTAAAAATAAAAGCTAGGCTTAATACCCTACCCTGATAGAAATGGTGTGTTCTGTATATAAAATGTAATATATCTTCTTGGAATTGTATTTGTAATTATTTGTAAAAAAGACAACCAAACAACCAACCAAAAAAACCCAAACAACAAAACCATGAACCCCTCCCCAACCTCCTCTATTCCCAAGTCATATTTTATCATCTAGATTTTAATTGTACAGCGGTTAGTGGCGTTGTTTAAAAAGAAAAAAATGAGGATTGTTTAAAATACTGTAAATTAGATGGCAATATTGTTGGAGCTGGGACTCTGGCAAACACCGACTGCTTAAAGCTTTTCTTCTAGTGTCATTGAATAACTTTCTTTTTTAGAGAAAATGTGAGTGCTCCCTACTTGCATCTGTCAGATTTTCCCATTCCTTTAAGTGAATACCAGTGTCACCATGACTAGGGCCTAGTAGGTGTCCAAAAATTGGATGTACTCTTCTGTTACTTCCTTTTAAATCTTTATACAAAATGCAAATACACTGTCATGAATGCATTGAGAGCCTGATCTTGATGGCCGAGCTTTTCTGAAGCAGCTGCTCATCATGTGAGTGGATCTCATTGCCATCTCTCGTGTGCTGACACGGTGATGGGGAAGACTTGCCGGAGGACTGAGTGCAGCCTTCTGGCCTCTTGAAGGGCAAAAGCAAAAATCTCCTGGATTTGGGTGGAAACGGCTTTCAGACGAAGAGCTTCCAGGAGCTGATCTGCGCTGCTAGGTTTAAAAGCTAAAAGTGCATGGATGCTTTCAGGAAATCTGTGTAGCACAAGGTGGTGATGGGGAATCAGCTGTCAAAAAAACCTACAGGAGACTTTAGGTTTTACAGATTCCCCTGATTTTTGTGGGAGGCTGGCGGACTGTTAGCAGAGGGAGAACAACTAATGGGCAGCACAGGGAGGTTGTACCATGGAGCTCCTTGCGTGGTACCCACAGCGTGCATGCATGCCTCGAGGCAGGCACCGTGCCCTCCCTGTGCTGGGGAGCCGCCAGATCCAACCTGTGAAAATCAATACCATTACATTTAAGCAGGGTGTGAAACAAGTATTTCACCTAACTCATGACCAACCTCAGAACTAAAGCTGCATTGCTGTGCGTGTTGGTGCTTTGCAAGTCATTGATGCTGAGGATAAATGAAGTACCTGCTAAAGGTCAGCAGGAGCTGACTGATGCATCCTCAGAGCCAGGCAAAAGTAAGTATTTCTCAAGATGAGAAATGGTAGGAAGAATGTGGTGATTATTTATTTGCTTTCTGGTGCTGCATGGAGGCTTTTCTTATCATTGGAGACTTTTTTTGGGGGGGAATAGGTGCTCTAAACACATGCACAAAGATGCCATTTCTGCCTCAAAAACTTGCTGCCTGATTTAAAGATGAGGCACGGCAAGTAAGAAGGAGAATAATTGAGGATGACCAAGGGAAACGGTGAGGGCAGAATGTGATATTGCATATAGGCCTGAGCTGATGAAAAAGCTCCCATTGCCTGCTATGGGCCTGGGTGAGGTCCCATAGTTTAGGTAATAAATTTGGCTGATGTCATTCAGAGCAATGTTACTTTCAGTTATAAAATGGGGGAGGACTCGTGGAGAAAATCTGGATATTGCTAATCCTTGCTAATCAAATTTTTAAAGAGCATAGTGGTGACAAAATAGACAAAAAGTCCTAAAAATGGTAATTATTTGGCAGTGCTAATTTAGTGATACACTTGCACTTGGTCACTTCATAGGGTGGGGAAAGGTAATTTAGGAAGTGTTAGTTTCTGGGACTAACGCTAGCAGGCAAAGTGGAGGTCAGATTGTTCACTTTAATGTTTCCAAAATATTTTAGTAGATCTTTTAATCTTTGCCACAAAGCACCTCTTCCTCAAATTTTGGTATGACTGTAGGCTACTTTTTAACAGGAATAGGCTTTGATTTTTCTCTCACTGTAGAAATAATGACCATCTGCAAAAACAGAGTCTGAGTTCAGATGCTGAGCTCTCCTAGTCCATGCCTACCACAGCACAGGAGGTGTTTGTGTCTGGGCTGCTTCTGACTTCCAAATTACTCGAAACACTTTGTGTTGGAAAAGATGAGGAGGTCAGGATGCTTTACAGTCAGTCTGCAAGGGGGGGTGGTACAGCCATGCTGTTGTCTGCGGGCCACACACCTGGATGAAGGGATCTGGATGGCCCCCGTAGATGTGATGGGAAGCTTGGTTGGGCAGGGGGGACGTGGCTGCCCAGGTTTGGACAGCAGAGGAAAGCACAGGATGTTCTTTAGCAGGGGCTGGAGCACAGCAAGGATGTGGCACTGGGACAATGCTTGTCAGATGGCAAAATGACTCAGCAGGAAAATACCAGCCATCTCCAGCCAACCAGGCCTTTGGCATAGAGGAACAACATTTATAAAAGGAGATCGATGCCTTGGCAAAGAAAGAATAAACAGCTTTGTGTTTGACTTTGGTGATGTGAGATTAGATCTTCCTTGCTCTCTCCATCAATCGTGCATCTGTCCCCTGGGCACCACAGGAGGTGAGGGAGAAGCTGAGCTAGTTATATCTCCAGTCAGCTTAGGTTGGCATTCTATTTCGCAGGGGTGCAGAGCTAAAACACCTGTGCCAGGGTACTAAAGGCCACCAGGACCTGCCATGTGTTATAACTTGTCATGAAGCTTCCCAGATGTTGAGGTTTGCCCTACGCCACGTTGGGGTACGGGCAGGTAAACCAGAAATGGACTTTCAGGGCTGCATTGAGGCCCAACTCAGAAGCTAGCAAGACAAGGGAAGGGCATCTGGGTGACTTCTAGGGCTGATGTGGCAATACAGATAGACGTAGCTTTCCTGAAGGGCCACCATGCATCACCTTCTAACTGGGCGTGCCGCTGTCTGGCTGCAGTGGTGTGGCTGTCGCGGAGAAAGGCAGTCGATGGCGTGGTACGGTAGCTGTAGAGCATAGAGAAGGTACGACAAGGCAGGTGAGGGCTCGGCGAAGGTGGGAAACCAGCTCTCAAGGCATGATCCTCAGGGTGGTGAGGGCCCTGTGGATCCAGCTGGTCTGGATGGGGTGAGTTCAGTTCCACAGCCAAGTAACTGAAGGCAAGAGGATATAATGGAGTGGTTAAAGGGCAAAAAGCAATGATGTGTCAAAGGCACGGGGCAGCCTGGATGGCTCACAATATAGGAGAGCACTTGGTAAGGGCAGTGCAACAGACATGCAAAAATGTGATTGGGTTAATGTGGATAGACGATCTAGAATCTTATGGACCACTGTAGCTAGAAATAACTGCATGGAGTGCTACCCCTGGGGAGCTGTCAGGAGATGTCATCCATTGGAATGATAATTCCCTTGGACCAGGCTGAGCAAACTTAGCATGCTAGACGCCATTTATGAAAGAGGAGGGGATGTATTCAGCATCCTTCAGGTATCCTGGGCCAGTTAACTACTGCTATACAGCATTTTTATCTCAAATGTTACATGCAATGTAAATGTGACAGAAAGTTTGCACAGTCTCCTTTAAATAAAGGATATAAGATTGAATCCTAAAAATACATTTCTCTTTAAAGTGAAGTTTTAAAATGAGCTCCCACAGGACTCTGCTCTTCATGTGTCAGAGGGATGGATTAAAATAAGAAAAATGTGGGCCTTAAAAGTTGTTCTTGCTCCCAACTGAAACCCATCAGTCTTACTACATATCCAAATAAGGCGTCTCCTAAGCATATGCTACGCTTACAAATGCATTTCTAAAAAAAAAAGAAGAAAAAGTGTATGATTTGAATATATGTCAGAATTTATACGAAAGAATGTTATTTAAAATGAATAAAAATAAATGTATATAATTTGTATCTATGCCACTTGGATTTTTGCATTTATTTTTTGTTCATTGAAGTTCAGCGGGAGTCTTTCCATTGATAGCAACCAGAGCTGGATTGAAACCTAAAGGATTGAATCTGATCTCATCCCAGTAATGACATTTGTTCCACGAGAATTATTCCTTCATTATACCCCTGTATGTGAGATGAGAACCATGGCACAAAAATGTTTTTTAACATCAGATATTCATAAGTACAGTTGACATTCTGTGTCAGATAATCCATCTAAAAAATGAGCCCTCTGATCTCTTGTATCTGCTTATTAACCATTCCAGCTTTCAGCTACTTTCATTAACATGTTTGGTAGCTAGACAGTCAATTTGTATTTCCCCATTATTGTCTGTAATATTCATTCACATAGACATATTTTGTCAGAGATGTATGCAGTCATTAAAAATGAAACCTACAGAGCAAAGCTAGAACTCGGAAGAGGATATTGTATCAGATTTTTCTTCATGACCACGATGGGTCTTTCAAAGGAAATTTATGTTATCAGATACTTTGAAATCCACATCTGTGGCATCAATAGTTCTGAATAGTTCTGGTAGTATCTGCAAAAGGACCTGTGGAAAACTTGCATTTCTTTCTCACTTGTCAGTGTTAGGAAATCGATTTTTTTTTTTTTTTTTTTTTTTGGCACAGAAGCAAATACAAATGTTAAAGCCACGT